CAATTAAACGAATACTTAGTCGACGGTCTGAGTTCACTTCTTGCTAAAGCAACACCTGGGTAAGCCTGCTTGATCATATCAAACGTCTCTGTCGCAGATTTACCGAGTTTCACACAGAATTTAATCGCGTACCTCTGCTCTAACGAACGCCGCATTTTCGGCTTGCACCACTCCAGGAAACACGTCGCGCGAAAATGCCTGTCCTGACTCTCCAAGTGCTCGGAGACAACTGACCAGCCGCTCATTCGTTAGCTAGGATGAAAAAAGAAAATGAGTCCTATTACTTTCCGGACAAACCCTGTATATATTTTTTCAAGTAAAATTGGAAAAATGCAGCCACATTCTGTAAACTGGTCTGGATCGTGTTTACATTACACAATTTTTCCTCCTTCAACCAACACTAGCTGTAACCGTTGTTTAGATCGCATTCCTCATCTTGCACACTGTATACTAAAGTATTGGTTTTTGCAAATATCTGTTAAAGACTGCGATAGTCAATAAACATTAAGCAGTGTGTTTGTAATATATAGTCAACGCCAAACAAAGTGGCGTGCACGTCATCAAGGTGGGTGTGTTGAAAAATTTACATTGTTGCCAAACTTTTTGTAAAATAATAAAATTTATTATTTACATATCTAGGTTTATAAGCAATATTAACCTCAAATGAGAACAAAAATAATAGTATAATAAAATTATAGATCTGTACTTGCATAATCATTAAGTATGACAATTATTGATCAGATGACACTATGAAACTACCATATTTAATTGATAGCTTAAAGGTACTGAATAAAAATCCAAATGGGGTCCTCCAAATTTTATGCATGGTATTTATTTTACAGAATTCATACAGAAAAATGCATTCTAAAATTAGGTAAGCTACTGGTGTAAGCTTTTTCTGTACAATAAAGTTAGTCGGAGTTTCTTTCTTCAGCGCTGTCTGAATCTGAATCTTCATCACTCTCAAAGTTGATTATTAAAGGTTCGATGTCTGGTCGATCAAAAATTCGTTCTCTTTCATACCATTTAAAAATTTCTTGCTCAGTATGTCGAACACTATTTTTCCACATGTCTGGGGTAACCGTTTGTAGAGCCTCGTTCCACATATCCAAACAGTCTTTTTCACTGTTACCATCTCTACCAATATGTCTGTTATAGTAACCTTTTGCTATGCCCCAAATTAACTCAATAGGGTTAAATATACAATGGTAAGGAGGCAGACGAAGAACTTTGTGCCCATTTGTTCCGCCAATTCATCAATCACGTATATTTTAGGTGGTTTGTTTCTAAAAAAGCAGTTATTTTAAGAATAGGAATAAACAAAAGAAATATAAACTGTCGACCAAAATATATATAATTAAGAAGCATTATGTACCGAGCAACAATACTCAATAGCTCTGTTTTAAACATTGTGTTTAAAAATGGTATGTTTTGATTTGTTAACCAGTCTTGGATATTTTTTTTTGTCCATGCATTGTTGGGCACTTTGTTCAATATCATGCTGTGATAAGGGGCGTTATCCAGTATAATCATAGAATGGACTCTCCAATTTTTCTAATAACTGATGTTGAAACCATTTCAAAAAATTGTCCTGGTTCATCTCTCCATGGAAATCGCTCAATTTTGTTTTCGAAGAAAATATCGCTTCACTACCCTCAATAAACCCATTTTCATTTCCAGCATGTAATATAATGTATCTAAAATATATTAGTTTTAAATTTTATAGTGCAAATTGTGTAAAAGTACATACCTTTTACCATCTGTTTTAATAGCTTTCACGCTTTTTTGGTTTCCATTTTGCCAAGAGCGACCTATGGTCCCATTTTGAAATATCCAAGTTTCATCGAGGAAGACAAACTGGTATAAGGCCTCAACCTTGGCTTGATTGTATTGCCTTAGAAATTCCACCCTTTTCAAAGCTATACTTGGTAGTTCCATGAGCCCTCGTCGCGGATTGTCCTTAAGCCACTTAAATCCAAGATCTCTAAGCAACCGCCTTAAAGACGTGGCACTACCATCAAATAATGCCCTATCTCTTAATCGAGACCATAAAGTTTGTATCGTAACTTGTTCTTCTGAAACCATGTGTAATATGACATTATAATTTAGTTAACAAATTAATGCAAATTTCTGATAAGTTATTATAATAAGATCTTACTTTTGTGATACATATTATAGATCACTTCTCGAATGGCACTTGTATCCAATGTCGCTGTGTTGGTTACACGTTTAATATAACTCCGCTTTTTCTTGGGCGATTCTAAATTTGCATCACTTTTCACACCCTCGGAAATACGACTAACTGTCCTTAAACTAATTTTTAAAGCAGCAGCAACACGCTACAAAAAATGAAATAAAATTTCACTATTATTAATATACATTACATATAATTATTAGTAACCTACCTCTTGAACAGCATTTAAAGGCAACAAAGGCCCGTTGTTGTCCCTTTCTTGCTCAAAGTAGTGCATTAACGAGGCCACGAGTTCCTTACACCGACTATTTAACTGTTTGGGCATCTTTATATACCAAAATTGCCTTTATCTACTCGTAAAATGAATAATTTTGTTTTGAAACAAACAGTTGTTGATTTACAGTATGCGGGGCCAAAGGATTTATAAAGATTTGAAATGCCACAAATTGATTCAGTGTCAAAATTAATACAAATGTCAGTTCCCAGTTTAAATAAGTTTCAAGGTGACAATGTGTCAACGCTGCGAAATCGGTTTAGTGCGTTTACATGTCGATAAGTGATTGGAGCGTTTGCAAAACATTTTATTTCGCATAATGCGTCTAAATTTATCAGAAAGCAACTTATGTGATATTTTAATAACAATGTTTATATGACTATTAACCATAATAAGAGAGTAATGACCATTTTACAATTTATATATCACATTAATATGAAACTGCAATAGAGCAATTGTTTGTGATAGAAACCTAGGCATTAGGTCGGGGAATTTTTATCGTGATGACGTGCACGCCACGTTGTTTGGCGTTGACTATACCTGATCTCTCTGATTAGTTGAAGCTCCAATAACAATTTAGGTCAAAATACCGAAAATTGGATCTTAAGGCATATTCGACCGATTTCGAAGCAAAAATTCTGTTTATCTTGTCGTGAGGTTGGTCCTTTTCCTTTACGGAAAAAATATTTCGCGGACTTTTTGTTTCGGAAGCTATTCGAATTTTCGGCCCAGTAAAAAAAATGTGGCAAATACTGGCAAGGAAGTTTTATAATCACGAAAAAATTCGAAAACGAGATACTATGTTTTTTGGATGTAATTAAAAAAACAACATGTCACTCATTTCCATCGGTTTGTATGTTTGTCGGATAATCCTTGGCCCGCCTTGGAAAGAACTATTGGAATTTGTATAAAATTTCAACGCAAGGTTACTACTATGCCAAGGACGAAAAGAATTTGTAGTGTTTGAACATCAGTCCAGTGACAGCGGAGAAGAAGGTCAAAAACGAAAAAATAAAAATTGCCTAAATCCCGTTTTTTGATATTTAAGAGGATCCTGATCATTTAAAAAAAAATAGGATATAAAAATAAGGAGGTGGGGCAGACAGGAGTAGCAACAAAATGGAAAATTGACAAAACGCTAGAATTCACAATTTTTCCGAACCTTCAAACTTCGAGTGCGTCTTCAGGTCGAAGCGTTCGACCTAAGACATTGAAATTTTGTAAAGCTTCATGCTTCCATAGGTATTATAGGTGGTTTTCAATGTGCAAATAGTTCATTCCACATTTGTTCGCTGTGATCACTGTGTACAACAGCTTTTGCTAAGTTGACATCTTGTAGAAAAACCTATGAAATGTAAAAAAAACAAAAAGTCTTTTTTCAAGATACGTTATACCCGTGCCGTTCAAAAAATAATCGAAAAGCGTTGCTTATGGGCAGGCTAGTGGGTACATCAGACATGCGACCAACATGTGTTCCATCTATGCAGATGATACTTAAGTCTATAACACTGTCATGAACTCATCTGTGCTTCAAGAAGACCTCAAGCTGATCAGAAAGTGGTCAGAACTCTGGCTCCTGCCTTTAAATCTATCGAAATGCTACGTTCTCCACCTGGGAAAGAATAATCCTAACTTAACATATAAGATTGGCAAACATACCTTAGAGACTGTTCTTCATCACACAGATCTTGGTCCGACAGTTAATGGCCGGCTCACCTGGTCGGAGCACATTCAGAACATAACCTCTAAGGCAAAGCGGTTGCTATATATGATGGAAAGGTCATTTAGCGGTTGCACCGTTAGTACCTCCTCCCTTTTGTACACAACTTTCGTACGACCCCTACTGGAGTTTGCTGGTCCGGTATGGGATTCAAACCTTGTTCGCGATAGCAGCTTATTAGAGGCCGTTCAGCGTCGTGCTACACGTATGCCATATGGCACACGTAGGCCAAGTTATGAAGACCGCCTCGAGCTATATAACCTGCCTGCTTTTGCTGATAGAAGAGTACGAGGAGATCTCATCATCACTTTCAGAGCACTGCATAATTTGTTTGGTGTGGACATGTCGCATCTGTTTCGTCTGCAACGAACAGTCTCAGAGGCCATAACTTCAAATTGCAGAAGGAAGCTTTTAGAACCTCTACTCGTCAGCGCTTCATCTCAAACCGTGTCTTCGATGCATGGAACAGTCTTCCATCTTATGTAGTGAACTCGGAATCCGTCAACAGTTTCAAAAACAATTACGATAGACACCGCAGTGCTTAACATATTGTTCCCATTCTGTATATGTCTACTTCAGAAGTGCTAAGATTGTCAAATTGTTATATTTCTTTTGTCTGTACACTATTATCTATTTTTGTGTTTGAGTTTATAGTACTTGTACTCAACTCAAATTTGTTGTTTAATAATAATAATAATAATAATAATAACATTGCAGGCCTTATTTGGGCTTCGTATAGAGTTATAAGGCTCGATTGCACCTTCTGGCTCCAAGCAGATAACTCGGCCTCTTCAAAATTAATAATTTGATTCCAGGATCTGGTAAGTCCTACACCATGATGGGTTCACAAGAAAATAAAGGAATAATACCAAGGTTGTGTGATACATTATTTGGCCTAATTGCAAAACAAGAAAGCTCGCAACTCAATTATAAGGTCGAAGTCAGTTACATGGAAATTTATAATGAAAAGGTATGTTAATCACGTACAGGGCAGTCCGTAATGAATCCGTAAAAAGCAGTCCTGGATTCATGAAAATTATGATATTGAGCTAAAGTTGCCTTATTAATGGGATACAACAGGGTGGTGAAGTTTGATTTAGCGTCATTTCTTTGTATCCGAAGTCACGGGCGCCCGCAGGAATTTATCTCAGGGGGGAGGGGCAACAATTTTCTAAGGGGAGCCAGTACTGTTTTATTATATTTTTCTGAAAATTGTGATTTGAGTGGCAATTTTGAAGTGAAAAAACGTTTGCCAAGATATTTGTCAAGTTGAGTTTAAGAATGGACTGCTTTTGGACTCATTCATGTTTTTTTTTTTACTTATTGGAGTGATTAATGTTTGACTTGACATTATTTCAGGTGCATGATTTGTTAGATCCGCAGACAAATAAACAGTCATTGAAAGTACGAGAACATAACGTACTTGGTCCTTATGTGGATGGTTTGTCACAGCTGGCTGTAACGTCGTTCGAGGTACGTGCTTATTTGATAACAAAGGTCTTCTTTCACAACGGCCAATTGCCATTTTTCCATAGTCAAGTACCAGAATGGAAGAGAGTAATGTAATTCAATAGGCTACTTGACTAATCTAATTTTAGAATAAATGAGTATTTCTTATAGTATTTGTCTTAGGAAATCCAAATATAACGATTACAATTTAAAAAAATTGAAGCAAATTGAAGGTAAAATTCGAAAAATTGAGCGTTTCGAAAAAAACAGTGGCGTACTATTATTTGGAAAAATAATCTCACTAAGCCCCTGTATCTCCGCCGCTGGTGCACGTTAATTTTAAGTAAATACTTTTTAATGCGGACAATACTTAGGTAAATCCACATACCAAATTTTAGTTAATTCCAGTTGACGGTTTTGAAGATATTGAAAAAAATTGTTTTTTATTCAAGGAAAAAATGTTAGATAGAAGACCCGCCCCCTTAAAATGCGGTCCTGTGTGTGATGTTTCATTTTTGGTCAAGACCTGTGAATCACCCACATACATATATAGGTCCAATTTGAAAACGTATAACGTATACTTTTCATTTTTAATACGAAATGGTCACGTCATACAAATCGTAAACAAAGGAACGTCTCCGTATGTCACTCGTGGAGTAAAGTTGTCTTTTTTAGATATTTCTAAAGAACTCCTAATCAACGTAAAACGTTATCGTTTCATTAAAATTGGACGTTGGATTCGTAAAAGCAGAAAGCACAAATTTGACCAAAATTGACACCTTGATGCATTGTAATTTTTTTCCTTCAACCCACATTTCTGCTCTTTTGAGCTGAGGAACATCAATACTTCTATGTGAGTACAGCGCATCTGATATAATGATAAATATAAAAAGAAAGAATCAGTAATACACTCATATAATATTTCTTTTCAGAAGTCATTTAAAACTAAGCTCATGCGTCATAACTCAATAATTTTAACTAATATTGTACCAGTATTTCTTCTCACACATCTGCAATGAATTCGTAGGTTACGTCCAACTTAAACGAGACGATAAAATTTGCACATTAAAATGTAAAATATGTCCCGAATATAACGTGTGCTCAAGCAATAAACCCTATTTCACGAGTATCCACGTTTAGATGTCTACTTATGAACTGTTCTGAATAAAAGAGTTTTTAGCAAGTACAAGATAAAACCGTAGCGTAGAAAAAACTAAATCCGGCTCTGTCTTACCTAGCGTTGACGGAACTGTCAAAATTATGTGCCATTTGTCGATATTCGGAATTTTCGATGTCATTTGATATTCTCGTACGATACAATAACGATAATTGCTATATTTTTCATGTAAACAAGGACAAGTCATGTTTATATGTTTAAAAGTTTGAGAGGTTATGGTGTTTACAAATGGTATGACGTCAGAACACATTAATATGAGCCAAACATAGCGGACAGCGTTTTCGCCTCTCTAAGAAAAACATATTGTCACGACTATGAGGTGGGAGGTAAACTTGCTCTGGGTTGAGCAGACTCGCTGGTGTGGAGACTTAAATGATAACAAAAAAATATATTTCCAATTGCATTAACAAAACGGCGCCCAAATAAAAGTACAATAAAAAATAAAATAGGTATACTTTATCTGAAGTCACTTGAAACACTGTGAAATACCGGGTGCGTTTTATATATCTATATTTAACACGCTCTGTTGCTGCAAAAATCGCCAAATTTCGCAGCAAATATCCCCCGTATAAGATCAAAGGCAGTTTCACCGGTCCACGTGGAGTAAAGCACGCCTATGCGTGGACATAGCCAATGAGAAAGCGTGTATTTCAGAGCTCCGAAAAAGTGCAGGTGGCTACTGAAAATTGAAACAGTTTAGCCAGTGCCGTGTAGCGGTGAATAAACGTGTTTTCTTTAGTCTGTCCGTGTTTTTTCATAGATTTTATTAGTTTGTGTGTTTTTGACTTTTGAATACTCAGTTTACTTGTTGATTTAATTGTTGTGTTGATTGTTCTTGTGTGTCCTAAATATGGCTCTTTGGAGACCTTGGGAAAATGCTCCAAGCCACGAGGAGATGGTTGATGAACCTGTGCAGGCAGAATTCTTTCATAAAGATTTAGAGGAACAGACCCAAAGAGTAATCCTAAATATGTATGATTGTCTGAAAAACGAAAATCCAGATTCCTCGCAAAATCAAATTTTAAACAGAATTTGTATCCTGACAAAAATCAGTCGGTCCACCATTTATCGGGTTATAAAAAGGGGAGATGTAGTCAACCATTCCTTCCACAGAAAGCGCATAGGGCAAAAATTAAAAAGAATAGACGTGGGTTTTCAGGAAGATATTCGTCGTATAATATACGGATTTTATAAAGAAAATTTGGTGCCCACGTTGGAAATGATACGGGATAAATTAAAAGATTATCCTGTATTTTTATCCCAAATCAAAAAAATAAGAAGATAGTAAAATCCATTTATTGCGATATAAAAACATTATTATTATCGTTCTAAATAAATCACCGCACGCCTATGATACGTCATGAAATTACAAAGGTTTTTATGCTATTTCAAGTGACTTCAGATATACCATACTTACTTTTTGACCCAGGAAGGTCCAGTCCCACGAAGAGAGATTCGCTTCGAGTGGAATCACTCACATATAGGAATAATTACATAATATCGGCCCATCCAGTTTTCTAGAAACCGATAGAACCCCCCACCGGTGGCAAATAATACGCCTTAGCAGATTATGCATTAGTTGCCCACGACATTTCTCAGCGGGTGCGGTTTAGGGTATCTATCGGCCTATATGGCGCGTGCAAGGCGCTACATACAGTTGATCACTCGTGGAAATATTTTTAAATTAAAAGTTTTACCATCTTGTAGGTCTGAAAAAATATGTAATTAACTTTTAAACTTTAATAGAACACATTAATTATTATTATTAAGACCCACTTAAAAAAAGGTCATCTAGCCTATTGCTAACGGCCGTATCGTCAGTCATTCCTACAATTATTGAAGGGCGCCTTTATGGCCTCCTTGATTTTCATAGTATTTTCTCTCCTTCAGAAAGGCTGGAATATTTCTAGGTTTCTACTGTTCCTTGTCAGTGCTCTCAAATAGTGATCTTAAGACATTTCGGGCTGATAAAACAGATGATAGAATCAAGTTTTATCAGCCTCAAGTTTCTTAGAATTCAAAAAGAAAATATAACCTCAAAATAAAATCACGCTGTGATCAAAGACTGTGTTAAGATTGGCGTACTCGTACAGTGCGCCCCGAAACTCTCTTCCATGTTGATACTTGATTATACACAATGGCTGACACATGGGTTGTTTATATTTCAGGACATTGATAATTTGATGGCGGAAGGTAACAAATCAAGAACAGTAGCAGCAACAAACATGAACAGTGAATCGTCTAGATCTCATGCAGTATTTACGATTATTTTAACGCAAACCTTGGTAGACACTAAAACAGGTGTGTCTGGTGAGAAAGTGAGCAGGATGTCGCTGGTTGACTTAGCTGGATCAGAGAGGGCTGTGAAACAGGAGCTGTTGGGGAAAGATTGAAGGAGGGCTCTAATATAAATAAGTTAGTTTTATAAATATATATTTTACAAGTAATAATTTTTCCTGCAAATTCGCAAGTCATCGATCAGAAATCAAACGCTAGAAAGAAAATTTAAAAGAAGTGAACCAATGTATATATACAATGTGATCTCACATATCACACATACAAGGTATCTCAGAATAAGCAGCTATATCTCGAATGCATTAAAACAAAAAATATAACCAAAAAACGTGTCAAAAGGTCCTGGGGGGATCCTCTGCGGAGATTATGCCCTTTATAATAGTACCAATAGTAAAAACGTATTTCTGTTTGATTTCGACTTTAATCGTTTTTGAGAAAAACAACTTGTTTTAATATACTGTTCCTATCCATTCACACGCTGATCCCTATAAAGGCATACGAAAATCTAAAACTTGATTAACCGATTTTAAATATCACTTCAGATTTACTACATTTTCAAAATCATGGAATCATTGGATCCTGTATCATTACTTATATACTACCGTACTGAAACAAAGCTGATTTTCTCAAAAATGTCTCACTTATTGAATCAAGCAGTACTTTTTTCCAGATGAAAGATCGGGATTTCTAAACATACAGTTGACGCATTATTGTAAGGTGTTGAAAAATTATCAGTAGTTAGTAGAGATGGCAGATATTTTTGAATATATGTGATATCTCATATCGTTGCTTTTTAATATTACGACGTTCGAAGAACGATATTATCGGTATCCTGATATTCTGAGAAAAATACCGCTTTGAAATCACATTGAGTTAACTACGAAGTAGAAAATTGGACCAAACTGAAGAAGATAATAGAAACACATCTCACTCATATAATAAAATGCTTATTATCAATTGACCACACCAAAACTCACTATGTTTCTTTTGCTTTACATTCCAACAATCTACCACATTATCAGTCACTCAACCTCAATCAAACAGATAATCAAAATTCAAGTACATATTTCTCAAAAGGAATTTACAAAATATTTTGGCGTATTCATCGATAGCAGACTTTGTTAGAGTGACCATGTTTCTTATATTTATTAAAAATTAAGATTCTTGCTTAAATTTCACCACTTAGTCATTTTATCACAAAAAGATGATATTATATTACGCACTAGAAACATGTCACCTAAGTCACGGAATAACAGTTTGGGGCTATGTAAATAAGACGCTAATAGAATTGGTTAAAAAACAAAAATTTATTCTGAAAGTAACATACGAGGGTGGTCCGATAAGTCTGGCGATGGCGCCACTATCGCAAGAGAAATGTACTATCGTGTAATACATTCTCGTAGATGGCTACTGTCAAAATTTCAACCGAATTGGACTCGTGGTTTTGTTTTGAACGCGTGTGGAAGTGGACGTGTCCGCGGATTATAAAGTGTTGTCCAATAGGGACGCAGGAAAGTAAACGTCAATTTGACATAGACGCCATCTTTATTTTCTGTCACCGACATGTCATTTTGTTAGTTGAATGTTTACCATTGATCGCTATGGAGTCCTATTCGATTGAAGACCGCATTAAAGTTATTCAAGAGCACTACAAAAATGGTGCAAAAATAAAAAACACGTTTCGCGCGCTTCGTGAACATTTCGGTCGCAACAACCGCCCAAACGAAACAACCATCGGTCGTCTGGTGCGTAAATTCGAGGCAACAGGTTCTGTGGCAAATCTGCCAGGCTCTGGCCGGCCAAGGAGCGTTCGCACACCGGAAAATATTGCTGTTGTGAAGGAGAATGTGAGAGACGATCCGAAACAATCAACAACGCGTCGATCCCAAGAATTGGGAATTTCGAGAACCAGTTTGCTCCGCATTCTCCACAAGGATTTGAATGTACACGCCTACAAGATCCAATTGACGCAAGAGCTGCATCGGGCCGACCATTTTTCGCGCCGAGCGTTCTCAGATTGGCTCCATGAACACCGCCAAATTGATGCCAATTTTTCATCAAAAATCATGTTCAGCGACGAAGCGCATTTCACTTTGACTGGGACGGTAAACAAGCAAAACTGCCGCATCTGGGCGAACGAAAATCCCCGTGAGTATCAAGAGCAGCTGATGCATCCTCAAAAAGTGACTGTGTAGTGTACATTGTGGTCAAAAGGCATCATCGGACCTTACTTTTTCGAAAATGCGGCCGGGGACGCCGTTACCGTCAATTCTGAGCGATATCACGTGATGATAGAGGACTATCTTTTGCCGCAACTTGAAGGAATGGATATGGACGATGTTTATTTCCAACAAGACGGTGCAACATGCCACACAACCAACGTCAATATCCATCAATTGCAGTCCTTCTTCGGTGATCGCGTGATTTCGCGCAGAGGAAATGTGCCATGGCCACCAAGATCGTGCGATTTGACTCCCTTGGACTTCTTTTTATGGGGATATTTGAAAAGCAAAGTCTACGTCAACAAACCAGCCACCCTCCAAGAACTCAAAAACAACATCATTGCCGGGCTAAATGCCATAGAACCGACCATGTTGCAAAATGTCATTGAAAATTTCGACCATCGCGTGGACGTCTGTAAATCCAGTCGTGCTGAACATTTGAGCAATATTATTTTTCATACATAAATGGTATAAATGAACCTTCAAAATAAAGTACCCAACTTGATTTGAATATCAATCTTTCTTGTTTTAATATGCGTTTACTTTCCTGTGTCCGTTTTGGACAACGCTATAGAAAAATGGAAAAAGAGCAATATCAGTCGGTGATTCGAGTCTTTTTTTGTAAGGGAAATCGCGCGGCGAAATCAAAGAACGCTTGGATGCCGTGTTCTCGTTGGATGGTGACAGTAAGAAATTGATTTAACGCGTTTCAACGTAGTCGCACGTGGCCGAAGCTGCGAACTGCTGCCCCATCCACTGTATTCGTCAAATTCGGCCCCGTGCGACTTATTTTGTTTTCAAACTCGATGGGCAGAAATTTGAGTCGAATGAGGTTATCGCCGCCATGGAGGCCTACAGGCTAAAAGGAGCCCATGTTGAGCAAATAAATCACCACTTTTCCAAAATTTTCGTTTTTCCTTTGTAGGCTAAGTACATATCGGACCGCCATCGTATTTTTTTTCCAGGCGCAAGGATATACTTTTGAAGATTGGAATGTATTCACCCTGTTGTATATTAACGTGAATAAACTATTATTCTAAGGCATCGCTTTGCCGTGAAAACACCTAGTTCCTGAAGTTGTGATGACGCCACGCTTTTTCACTGTATTCGGTCATAGTCATGATTCCTGATTTAGAAATCTCAGTAACAAAAATAACAATTCGTGAAATATCTGCCACGAGTCGCGAGCTGAAGCTAGTCCATCCCTGGCGATATAAATGAGTTCATTCATTTCTAGGTTTGTTCATTGCGTGTCTGATTCTCAGTAGGAGAGCACCGAGGGGCATTTTTAATGGACATTATTTTTGTGTTTCTATATGCATTCTGGAGATTGACTGCCTATTCTGGGACGTCCTGTGTATTTTTGGGGGTGCCAGGAAAAAATCATCTTGGACAAACATCCGTTTTTTCTGCTTTCAGATCCTTAACAACGCTAGGTCTAGTCATTTCCAAGTTAGCAGACCAGTCGTCGACGGGTAGTAAAAATAAAGACAAATTCGTGCCGTACAGAGATTCAGTATTGACGTGGCTGTTGAAAGATAACCTGGGAGGTAACAGCAAAACAGTGATGGTTGCTACAATATCCCCGGCAGCTGATAACTACGAAGAAACGTTGTCAACGTTGAGATATGCTGATAGAGCAAAGAGAATAGTTAATCATGCTGTTGTTAATGAAGATCCTAATGCTAGGATAATAAGGGAGCTGACAGAAGAAGTGGAAACTCTGCGAGAGATGCTGAAGCATGCTACTGTAAGTCGTGTTTTGAAACGGTTTGATTTAGCTTGTCTTGCTTAAGTCAAATCTTGTTGAAATTTTGTTCTCTCCCCGTTGTCCGATTGATCTTGAATTTGGCACACATATTCAATTCTGTTGACAGTATAATTATGCATATTCATTATTTTTGTAAATCCAATACGGCCGTCGCTACCATATGGATTACATATTTTTTACAATCCTTCGATCAAATCAAAGGGCTTGATTGATAGAATATATAAAAACAATTGCAAATTCAAGATGGCTGCTACCGCATTATGGCGGATTTCATTTTTTCTATCCCCTCAGTATGGGTGTCATATAAGTAGAACACGTACACTTTAGAAAAAAAAATCCTGATCCAAAATGGCGTCCTTAACAAAACACGTACTATATAGTTAAAGACAGTCACTTTATTAAAATTAAAATTTAGGTATCTGATAAAAACAACTCTAATAATGAGGCACTTGATGAACGTTAAATTTCCATTACTATCATCGTGCAAGAATCACAGAACGATCATTTTCATATTTGGGCCCGACAATTGTATTTTAGTCTGATCAATCCCCTAAAGCTAGACTGATGAAGAGAGTGCTGTGGTGACTGGTATCTGGTCCCTACCTAATTATTTTTAGCTTTATCTACATCGTTATTATGTTTCTCTATAATACAACCTCTCTACTCGATTTTTACTTTTTTTTTGTTAACATCTTCTAGTGTTTCACGAATACTAAAATGTTCTTCAAATTGAACCTCCATGACGCGCTTGAACCCATCTCTTGATAAATAAAATTCTAGGATTCTTCTTGTAAGCATACATTGTTTTTGAAAAAAATATCTTAGTAGGTAATCGCCTATACTTGTCTGGTCAATAAAATTACATGTATTGACAGCATCTTATTTACTGTAAACATTTCAATCACAAAGGTGACAATGACCATATATTTTATTTATCTGTGTTCCAGGTGACAGTTCATTTTTTCTTCTTCTTGTCGCTATCACATTCCTATACAGTGTGTTACTATAATAGTCTGAAAATCTCGTAACATGCTGAGATTGCGGGAAATCATCGCTAAAAATTTTAAGATGGCACCACGCAAAACCAGCATAGCCCAGGATCGCCTAGGGTAGACATTCCTGTTCCCAAAAAAGAACGTCCAACCTCAAAAAACGACAAGCGAGCATCGACCAGACACGTCACCCTCGTCCATCGCCCCGAAAACGCCAAAAAGCCACCCAGAAATGTCATAATACACCGGTTAATTGATATGCAATCTTCGACTAAAATCTTGCAAGTATGGATATTGTTTTTAATCTCTACGCGAGAAATACCACCGTCTAAGGGGGGCTATGTTGTTTGTCCTGAGAGAAAATAATATCAGACAACAGTTAGGCCTTGAGATAGCAAAGCAGAAGAATAACCATGAGAAAAAAAAACCGGGATAAAAACCCACGGTCCACTAGTTAGTTTCGAGAATATCAGTTAGATCTTTCCTTCAAGGATATTGGGTCACAGCCCACAAAGAGGTTTTCGCGTTTTTTGGGGGGTTTTTAGCGTTTTCGGGACGATTGACGAGGGTGACGTATGCGGTACATTAAAAAACAACAGATAGCCTCATGCTCGTAATTTTTGCGAACGGAAATGCCTAGCAGGCGGTACTGGGCTATGTTGGTTTTGCGTGGTGCCATCTTAAAATTCGTAATGATGACTTCGCGCAATCTCAGCGTGTTACGGGACTTTCAGACTGTTGTATTGACACACTGTATAGGAACGTGATAATGAAACTGTCACCTGGAAGGCAGATAAACAATATATATTGGCATTGTACTCAAGGAGATCACCTTTGCGATTGAAATGTTTACAGGGAAGAAGATTCTGCCAATATATGTGGTTTTATTGGCCAGATAAGCACGGGGGATTACCGACGTGTAAACCACCGGATAAGTTTCAGATTTCACGTTATCTTTGTAGGGCTCTCCAGTTGGTGATATTCAAAGAGTTGACATCCACCAAAAGCTGAGCGAGAGCGAAAAATTATACAAAGAAGTTTCCCAGACGTGGGAAGAAAAGTTAATGAAAACCGAAAGGATCCAGAACGAACGACAGCAAGCTTTAGAAAAAATGGGCATTAGCATCCAAGATTCCGGAATCAAAGTAGAAAAGAATAAATACTACCTAGTGAACTTAAACGCAGATCCATCCCTGAACGAATTATTAGTTTATTATTTAAAAGATATAACAGTAGTAGGTGCTAACAGCAACGATGTTGATATTCAGCTGTGTGGACTGGGTATTCAACCAGAACATTGCATTATCACAATCGAGGAAAATGGTTTGTTCCTGGAGCCATTAGCAAACGCAAGATCGTGTGTGAATGGATCTCAAGTTAGCCAAAAAACGCAGTTGAGACATGGTGATAGAATCGTTTGGGGTCATCATCACTATTTTCGAGTCAACTGCCCACGATCAATATGTAAGTAGACACAATGCTTTAAGATGTTTTTAACTTTACATTTACAGGGTAGCCCAATGTTTTCAAAACGTTTAACGAGTCATGTACGGCAAAAGCCTTAAGCGTTAGTTTAGGTATTCACGCTGCTGTGCGAAAACCGATAATAGCATTATTAAAGCATGTACCACTACAGACCATCACAAAAATACAAACAGCGGCCACAGAGAAACGACATAAAAAACGTGACTAACCACCATAAGATCAATCCGCCTGGCACATCTTGGCAGTGATGCTTCTTTCAATGTTACCAACATACTCACAGTTAAGAGAGATGGCCGGCTGAGCGTTCCTGTATGGTTCCTGTCCAAGTTTGTAGCTTCCACTAGCAAAGAAGCGCAATGTAGACTGTATCTATAAATACAAAGGGTACTATAAAAGTTTTGCAATACAGATTTATTTATTGACTTCGTTCAAAGTAATTTCCAACACATTCCACACTTTTCCATCCGTCAAAAGCAGTCTTTAAACCAGCTCTGCCAAGTTTCAGCTGGGAGTGCGGCAGACTCGTCCTAAGCCCTCAGAAGGTTCTCATCGCTAGAAAACCGGTTTCCTTTTAGCTTCATTTTCACATGCGGAATTAGTGCAAAGTCGCAGGGAGCAAGATCTGTACTGTAACGAGGGTGCTCAATAAGTTTCAGTCCAGTAGTGCTCAAATACTCGGTGCAGGCATTGACGCGGTGAGCTGGAGCGTTGTCATGGTAGAAGTACCAAGTCTCCATTCTTGACGTTGGCCGCAGGTTTTTCATAGACTCTATGACTTTAGGCAGGCACTGTTCCGTGTACCACTTAGCTGTGACTGTCTTCTGTGTGTCCAAAACGCATGCACCACAATCCCGCTCGATTTGAAAAATACAGCCATCATTTTTTTCTTAACAGATCGGGATTTTCTGACAGCCACGGGTGTGTCCTCATCATCAAAGACCTAAACTTTGTTTTGAGCCTTGGTCGGCATACCGAGATTGCCCCTTATCAAACATTTTCATCATATTTCGGCAAAATGACTGAATTCCTGGTGCATGAAGGTGTAAGGTCCTCTATATGTTGGTATGTCGCTCTCTGGTCTTCGTCAAGCATTTTCCTCGCAGCAGTAAGGTTTTCCTCTGTTACTGACGTTCGTGAAATTGCCCCTTGGAATTATCTGTACCATATGAGTATAGTCGTACGATGAGGACAATCATTCTTTAATGCAAGCGTCACTACTTCTAAGCACTGGTCTATGCTTCAACCACGCTTAAGGTTATACCGTAAAACTGCCCTTATCTCACTATGTGACCACGATGTCATAGTCCGCACTTTACACTGTCAATACGAATGAACAACTAAATCAACCGACGTGCTGCCGGCGGCTACTATGCACTCATGGACATGTCTCAACATGAAGCCTCCTGCGTCCGTTTGTTAAGTCATGTTGCCAAACTTTTATAGTACCCTTTGTATAATGCCACATTCATATAATCATCTGTATACTACATTAACTGGAGGACAGTTTGTTTTATTTAAAAGCATCAGAGCTCATCACTGTTATATAGTACAAGTAGTTCATTATTTTCACTTTCTTTGCTCGACGCTTATTACTTACAATCTACAATCCACTGGCAAATGTGTTCGCAACATTTCTCCAGATCTTACACATCCTGATTTCTTAGCCAGCATAGGTTTACAAATTTTTACAAACTCCGATAGCTCAAAAGGGTTATCGGCATCGAATATTTCCTCTTCAAGTTTCCAATATTTCCGATTGAATTAACGCCATTAAACTGGTATGCCACTAAGTACCGGTAAATTATTCAAAAACTACCACAACATCGTACCAATAGCACCCAACTTTCCAGATTAATTAATTTTCGCCAAGCGACTTGCAACGCTTTGCGTTTTGAAGATCGAGAATACCGCCCCAGTGGCGGATCTACGATCTCTGGGGCCCGAAGCACAAAGTTAATCATCATTCTGGAAGCACAAATACTATTTACTTTATGGCCCCTATAAATGGCGTCCTGGGGACCCCTTAGTCCGGCTGTCCGAATCACAGTGCGTCATGTTCGTCTTAGACCTGCCCCTGGTGGAGTTCAGTTATCACACCAAAGCTAGTAGCTGGTTTATTAGCGGGTTAGCTCATAAATATGAGTGACACACATAACTGTAAAACTTCGCCGGTTTCGATTTTAAGAAGTTGTAACTGTGGTTCATCGTCAGAGCTTTTTTCCTGTATATAATATGATTAATGTGCAATGGAATAAACTGAAATCTATTGGTGCGTCCTGCGAATACGAAGGGTTGGACACTATTTTCCAGTTAAGCTCCAGAATCTTCTGTCGGGTACCCCTGAGCAATATGAGCTCTAGCATTGTTCTGGAGGAAAAATATTAGTTCAAATTTCAGATTTTCAAGTTGACTACAGCACATTGTTACAATAATCGTGGTATTATTAGGCGCAATTTCAATGTACATCCAAAAACACCGAGAGCATCACCTTCCGTGGATCATCTCTTTTGGTGTAGGTTTGACTGGTTCGTTGGGGGCCCAGCCATTAATGCATTCGTTTAGCATAGTTTTGCCGAGAACCAGATGAAAAAACAAAGGACAATCATGGACATGTCTGCATTACAGGAACAGGAGCACAAATAGATAATAATAAATAGAAGGATTTGTAACCAGAGCTTTTCTCACGAAAACGTGAATAAATGTCCAAACAAAAGTAAATTTGCACAAAAATGCGTTCACTACAAGTGATTGAGAAAAGCCGTGTTCACACGCCATTCCTCCGTACGTAGCGTTCGCAGCGAGTGCTCGTGGCGTGGACTAGTTTTTTGATATTGCTTATTTTTTCGTTGTACTTAACGTACTGTACTTAACAAAAATCGTTCATTACATATGAACCCGGCAATCCACATACCCAAGTTTATTGCAAAATGTCATTTTTAATACATATCTTAATATGTATTAATCAACGAAGTCAAACAGATTAGTGCCATGTTTACATTGCATTGTTTGTCTCCAAAATTGCGTAGTTTTTAGCGCATACCTTTGACTCATTTGACTATCAATGCCTACCAAAGTAACAGCGCCATATCAACATAATAATACTTACCGATGTAAAGATCTACCTTCATTATTCTTGTGCCGCTCTTTATACAAGAAGTAACATTTAAAAAATAACACTAACTATACTAATTTACTGACTGAACTAACATAAAATTAACTTTGTCAAGATTGCTTCTATTGACTATAGACGGGCATTTGGAGACAAACAACTCATAGGCTTCCCCCTCATGTCTAGTCTGAATTCGTTGGTATTAATGAATGAATGGGTGAATATTTTACGTATTTTTTTAGCAGCGGCGTCAGAACCTCAGACGCCAGCACAAAACATTGACTATAATTTCGCACGTGACGAGCTGATGACTAATGAGTTAAGTAATGATCCAATACAAGCTGCCATTGCACGATTAGAAAAACAACATGAAGAAGATAAGCAAGGTGAGTACATACCGTCTTTACACATTAAGATCACAAACACCTTTTTTTCAACACTCTGAATGAGTATTCTTAATGCTTTTTATCTGATTGTTTTATGGTGTGTATAGTGATGTGAAAAACAATATACTACCAATTTCTATATCCAACGCCTACTGGCAAGGAAGTATTGTAATCGCGAAAATGATATATGATTTTGGATGTTATACGACATGTACATTACGAAAAACCACGTCACTCATTTCCGTCGGTCTGTGTGTCTGTTCGCTAATCCGGCGTTGCGTGGGAAGTGCAGAGTCAACATACTTGACGCCATTTTTTTGTTAAAAATGCATTTTTGGTGCATTATTAATGCATTTTTTTCACAATCGAAACTGATCGACAAATAATAGTACAGCTCTGAAGTTGTTTAAGACTGTTCCACAAAACCTCACAACTTAATGATATTTCCAGTGGCGTTAGAAAAACAACGTTTGGAGTACGAAAGGCAGTTCCAACAGCTGAGAAACATGGTATCCCCATCAACTCCTTATTCTCCTTATTCGTACGACCCTCTACGTATGGGCCTAAGCAAGACCACCCCTTGTACTCCAACAACACAGATGAAGGTAGAAAGGTGGGCCCAGGAAAGAGATGAAATGTTCAGAAGGAGTATAGGGCAATTGAAGGAGGATATTCTTAGGGCAAATTCATTGGTGAAGGAAGCTAGCTTTCTTGGTGATGAAATGGGCAAGCAGACTAAGTTTAGTGTTACCCTGCAGATCCCTCCAGAGAATTTGAGCCCCAATAGACGGGTATGTTACAAATTAGTATTTTCATCATGATTTATCTGAGGATCATTGCTTTTGTAAGATAATACATTTTTGATACATTGTCTTTTTATAACTGTGATTTTTCCACATGATCGCTATTTACTTTTTTTTAAGTATATAAGGAAATCAACTAAACCTCTAATTTAATCATATTTTGATTATTGCAGAAAGGGGCATTTGTGAGTGAACCAGCAATTCTTGTAAAACGAAACAATTCTAGTCAGGTGTGGTCCATGGAGAAATTAGAAAACAAAATAATAGACATGAGAGAATTATATGAAGAGCAAAAGAGAAGAGCTGAAGAAGGTGAATGTGCTCTAGATGAAACAAACTGGCCTGACCCGTTCTTTGAGTCACAAGAAAATCATAACCTGATTGGAGTTGCTAATATATTCCTGGAGTGCCTTTTCCATGATGTAACTCTAGATTATCACACTCCCATTATCAGCCAGCAAGGGGAAGTTGCTGGAAGGCTTCAGGTTCGTTTTCATACAGACGTTTTAATATTTAATATACACGGTGTCCCAAAAGTCGACGTCAAGCCGGAAACGGGGCATAGGCTAAGTCGTAATAGAAAAATATAAAAAAACGTTGTGTACTTTTCAAATTATAGGAATTAAAAAATCGGAAAAAAATTATTTTTTCCTCAGACATACTGACGGACAGTATCATTTTACGTGGTGCGCCTGGCAGCTGTCTGCTGGTACATGTAAATGCTAAGTGGCACGTCTTCCAATAAATTTGATAAATGATTTTGTAAAAAGTCATTCAAGGGCTCTGGCAGCTCAAAAGCTATAGTGATTCCTCCATTTAGAATCCCAGTCCACATGTTTACTTTAAAACGATACTGTGATCTATCTTGTGTCATCCAATGTGGATTTTCTACATGCCACTCGTGTAAGTTGTGTAGATTCATATAACCATCGTTTCTAAATGTCGACTTATCAATCTATAAAATTTTCTGTAAAAATCGCGGATCTTCCCGGTGTCTCTGTAATATTGTTTAACAAAATTCAACTCTTGAAAGATAATCCCGGGGTTAAAGAGATTGCACTCGCTGTATGTGGTACGTCGACCCTGTATGCTTTCAGTAATACTACATTTGCAAAAGACTATCTGCACCCATATTATGTATCTGCGATTCTTACTGTGCGATTGATTCATGTCAAACTACGATTTCTTCTATGAGATGAAACCAGTTTTGTTAAAAATATTTATTTCAAATCACTGCGCCAGCTATGGTAGAACATTGTATAAAGCTATTAAACTTTTCATGATTCTATGGATTCAAAGGTTGAAGGTTATTTTCACTTGTGGTATCAGGACTTAACTTTTAGTGGTATTATTGCGTAGTTATCGCTTTTGCTGTGACTTGAATAAAATTACCAATCAAAAAAGAAAACATAACTGTGGTAGTTGAATCATCAATCCGAATTGACGAAAAAAAAAACCCTGTCTGCTCTGAGGTGCAGGTATAGTATCCCAGAACTATGCAACTCACAAACCATGCTAGTGAAAAACGGGTTGCGGTGGTGTAGGCAAATATCAGCAAAGCAGATTTTATTTCATTGTTTTTTATCCTCCTACCACGATTGATCTCTTTTTAGGTTGAACTTAGCAGAGTCGCTGGCACGTTTCCTCAAGACAGGATATGTGAAGCAGCTTCAGACAGCTCTTCAGATTGCAGCCATGACGAAGATGAATCTGGTAGCTCGCAAGTAACAATACGAGTCCACATAAAACAAGCGTCCGGCTTACCTCTATCACTAGCAAACTTCGTGTTTTGCCAGTATTCTTTCTGGTGGCATCCTTCGGTTGTAGTACCAGCTATTACCGATCAGAACTCCCAGAAAAATCCTACCACAGTCAAGTTTGACCACGTCAATGAATTTACAGTGAATATCAATGAAGAATTCATTGAACATTGTTCTGAAGGTGCTTTGTCTATAGAGGTAAGAGAGCTTATTCCAAAACAGTCATACAGTGTGATTCTAAAAATAAATAATGGCATTATTTCGGTATAAGTGTATTTTTCGTAAATATTCGGGTGTAGCTCATTCAATATTATGTTACTAAGGTCATGCAAGTAGCCGTCATTTCGTCAAAATACAAGAGATTGTAAATATGCTGCTATTGATCAATATAACCTCTTTAAGAGTGGCGTCCAAACGTGTCATTTATAGACAGCCTGAAAAACACATAAGTAGTTGTGAAAACTATACAGGGTATCCCAGAATAACATTTTCGTAGAGGAATCCGGTAGGACTTTTTTATAGTAACTTGGGGAATTATTTTTTATGGTCTATTTAGTACTGGCCAAAGTTCTTCTTTTAGATTCCCCTGTGTTGGAGAGCTTATCTTGCTTCTCCCTCATACACATGGGAATCTAAAATGGTCAGCGCTGTATGTGTATGAAGAAATTAACAATTAATTATATCGTTTTTTTAACGCCCTTAATTCTTATTTGATATGGCGGCTGCTTAAATGACTTTGACAGGTACGCAGATGAATGTTGGATAAGCTGTGTTTGTGAAATACAAGTTTTAGCCTATCCTGACATGTCCTTTTTCAAAACTCCATTGTCTGGCCGAATCAAACCACAAATGTTTAAATGCCTGTTTATTGTTACGACGTTTCAACCACCATGGTGGCCAGTTCAAGTATAATGACAATATTATTGTCTCACCTATAAAATATCTTTTTAGAACTGAGCTCTATGTATAAAAATTTTGTGGTTTATTAGCTCTCCAACAATATGCCACACATGGAGGTAAGTTTTCGACGTTTTGATTGAATTTAAATCAGTTACAAATTATTTTCGAAATGACTGCGTGATAGAATAATGAAGGTAGTTATTGCAATGGAGTAAACAGGTAGGCTTGGAAATGCTTCTTAACTGTTGATTTGAAGTCCATGACTTGTTCGACAGTACAGGCAGGAGGTTTGAAGGATCACTCAAGTGACCTTGACTACAGCCTTCAAGGTTAAGTCGAACTTTCCAAAAGAAACATCTCAGTTTTACTTTAGCAATGGAATAAACAGGTAGGCTTAGTAATTACTTTTGCGCAGTTGATTTGAAGCCCATGACATCCATGAATATCAAGATGTAGACATTTGCAATTGTCTATATATTATATATACAGGGTGACTTCGAAGTTGAGTCATTTATTTTAACAGTGAGTAGATCTGATCAAAAGAAATGTTTTTTTCCTTTACTATTTTTCTGGTAAAATTAAAGTAACAAAGTTATAGCCCTTTGGAAGTTTGAGTACCGCCCTGTCTCAATCATAATATTATGTGCTCGTGTTTGGCAACAACGGATATAATCCGCCTTATCGGTTCATCGCATCGGAAACAAAAAAGCGAAAGAATTTGGAACGATGTTTTTACAATTATTTTATTCCGTTGTATACAGTCAGTGTCAGTCGGTAACGCGTGAGTGAATAGTGGTGTCTGTTGCGTGGCTTAAACGAAATCAAAAATGGCACATGTTTATGCGGATCGGTTTCCCAATCGAGTCCAACCAACCCCTCGTGCCTTTGTTAATGCAGTACAACAGGCTCGTGAATCAGGTGACTTAAGACCTCACAGGCGACGGCATGCCGGTGCTCCAAGACCTCACGATCAAATACAGGTCCGCACTGAAATACTTGTCGGGAGGATACTTTATAAAACAAGGTAAATTTTTTTTTTACTTTTTTTTTTATTTTTACACACATATTTTGGTTTATCTTCAAAGTCATCCTGTATATATATAAACAAGTAGGAAATATATATATATACATATATATACAGGGTGACTTTGAAGTTGAGTCATTAATTTTCAGATAATGATTGTAGACGGAAGATAAACCAAAATATGTGTGTAAAAATAAAAAAAAATTAAAAAAAATTTTACCTTGTTTTATAAAGTATCCTCCCGACAAGTATTTCAGTGCGGACCTGTATTTGATCGTGAGGTCTTGGAGCACCGGCATGCCGTCCCCTGTGAGGTCTTAAGTCACCTGATTCACGAGCCCGTTGTACTACATTAGCAAAGGCACGAGGGGTTGGTTGCACTCGATTGGGAAACCGATCCGCATAAACATGTGCCATTTTTTATTTCGTTTGAGCCACGCAGCAAACACCACTATTCACTCACGCGTTACCGACTGACACATTGACTTTATAAAAACATCGTGATCAGCGTTTCAAATTCTTTCGCTTTTTTGTTTCCGATGCGATGAACGGATAAGGCGGGTTATATCCGTTGTTGCCAAACACGAGCACATAATATTATTGAGATAGGGCGGTACTCAAACTTCTAAAGGGCTATAACTTTGTTACTTTAATTTTACCAGAAAAATGTTAAAGGAAAAGACATTTCTTTTGATCAGATCTACTCACTGTTAAAATAAATGACTCAACTTCGAAGTCACCCTGTATATTTTGTAATTATATTTGAATGGAAAAATGAACAGAATCAGTCTCATCACTTAATTTCTAGACCTTGTATGTGGTTTGATTCGTCCTAGACATTGGAGTCGTATGAACACGAAAACCACAGGATAAATTTGAGGAATTACATTATCCTTTTTTTTTGTTAGGTGTGGGGCAACAGAAGTGCAGGTTTCTCTAAGCACAAACCAGGCTGGGAGGTAGTGGAGCAACAGTTGGCAACGGCGCGATCCCTTCTAGATCGTTGGTCAGAGTTGACTCGAAAAATAGAATTGTGGGTTGAAATTCAGGAGTTGAACGATCAGGGAGAATATGCTGCCGTTGAGGTGAACATGAGAAATGACATGCTTACAGGAGGTATCTATCAATTGCGTCAAGGGCAACAAAGGAGGATCCAGGTCAGAGTGAAGCCAGTACAAAACTCTGGGACGTTGCCTATCATATGCCAGCAATTAATCAAAATTGAAGTGGGAGGTGTTATGGTCAGGAACAGGTTGCAGAAAGCTTTGGGTATGTTCTTTTTTATTCATTTATCCGTATACTAGGGCTGGTCCCATATCAAAATAACAATATAGGGCCAGTAAAATCACGCTGGATGGTGTTTATCAGATGAGTCGATTTTAGAGAGTATACAGCATTAAAGTGCTTAACTGCATTATGGATCAAATAAGTTCTGTTGAGTCCGAATAAGATTTTTAAAATAACTTTAGGGAAAACGCCATGAGGTTCTCTATTCCTATGTTTCGGAAGTTACTGCTCGTAATTATAATACAATTTTGACACAAGGCTACTGTTATCCCTATGATAGAACACCTTAAATGCTTTCACGAATAAAGGCGCAGGTACAGGTAGAATGGGGAAATTTGAGATCGTCACTAAACATATGTTCTTGAATGGTTTCGAAGCTGCTGATTATTTTGATAAGTATAAAAGCTCACGTGGGTCAAAACCTAAAAAAAAAGAAGATTTATTTGGCGTTTTTCTACTATCTGGTTATTTCGGTTCATAGTAGAAATATTGCATATATCGATGCAATGCTGAGAATTTCTCGCTGAGTCGCATTTGATTAATTTGTGTGTAATGAAGTTTGCAAAATTCGATCCTCCTAACACTTTTTTCTATTCAGTTCTCTTATAATTGTCGAAAAAGTGGAGATTTCGACGTTTTGCAAAATTGTATGGCTAAACAAATAAATTGACTGCTAAATCATAAAACACTTAGTAATTATCCGTGGAGATATTGACGCGTGCACTATGCCCAAATAAGCTATCAGACTATTAAATTATAGCTCGGAGAGTTTTTGTAAAATTGTTCATATTTAATTAACATCAGGCATCTCAATATAAATTATATATTCTTGTTGATATACATATTGTGACTCATGCATTGTAAAAATTACTTCAATCCCGCCGGTAGCGAGTCGATCATTTCACTAAACAAGTTTCAAACAAAACTTGTACAGTTTTGAGGGTGCAAAATAGTGGTGACCTTGACCACGACCTTCAAGACCATTTCAATGTTAGGTAAACATTTTCAAATAGAACCCGCCCTTTTTACATCGAAATTGAAAAGAGGATGAAATTTTACGTCCAAATATGATCATCGCACTTTGACTATTTACTTCAAGATCAAATCAAGACATCAAAAACAAGTTCCTGTATAAAAAATGTTCGACAGTACTCGTGTGGCGTTTGTGGGGATCACTCGAGTGACCTTGACCATTGCCTTCAAGGTTAAGTCGAAATTTCCAAAGAAAACTCATTTTCACACTGGAAATGGAAAAAATTAAGTTCTTACCTCAAAGTCAAGGCTTAAATGTAATTTGAGGTCAAGGTCACATTCGGACGTAAGGTTTTCAGAGTGCAAAATAGTGGCGACCTTGTCAGTGACCTTGACCACGATCTTCAAGACCATTTCAATGTTAGGTAAACATTTTCAAATAAAACCCGCCTTTTTTACATCGAAATTGAAAAGAGGATGAAATTTTACGTCCAAATATGACCATCGCACCTTGACTATTTCATTCAAGATCAAATCAAGACATCAAAAACAAGTTCCTCAAACAAAAATGTTCGACAATACTGGTGTGATGTTGGTGGGGATCACTCAAATGACTTGACCATGACCTTCAAGGTCAAGTCGAAATTTCAAAAGGAAACATCTCATTTTTACACTGGAAATGGAAAAAATTGAGTTCGCACCTCAAAGTCAAGGTTATGACTAGCTTAAGTGTAATTTGATGTCAAGGTCACATTCGGACGTAAAATTTTCTGTTTTTTTCATGTCTGGTGTAAAAAGACAGGTTTTATTTGGAAAACCTGACTTGACCTTGAAATAAAAGAACAAGAACATTCTTAGGTGAATCCCACAAACCTCACAACTGTGTTGACAATTTTTGCCAATTGTTTTTGCTCTCTGTATCTGACCTTGAAATGGCCTTGAAGGTCATTGAAGTCAAAGTCATATCGAAGATAATATATGTACGTCAGATTTTCTTCTATTTTCAATTCCGATGTATTGTCATTTGAATATATTGACTTGTCCTTAAAATGACTATGCCCGTCGTGGTCAAGGCCATTGTCAAGGTCACCATATTGCCCCCTCAAAAACCTACAACTTTTGTTTGAAACTTTTTTCTTGAATGCGCAGTTGAAATATTTTGGTGGGGCGATTAAAACGGGACACCCTGTATAGTTACAAGATGTTTACGTAGCACAAGCTGTTGTAAACTTTTTGTGAACTTGCTTTGTAGTTGTACGTGTTGCTTGACCGTCAGCGATCATAGCGAGCCAACGTGGAATAAACTATTTGCACACTAAAAACTACCCAGTCCGCGAGATATTTCGTCGATTTACTGCCACTTGACTCTGTAAACGGCGGTGCGCGCGATCAGCCGTAGCCGATCGCTTGTGTTAAAATCTTTGTCACGCACGATCCAAAATCATATAATGTCAAAACAGTTTGACTTATCAGCCTAGTATTTTATCATCAGCCTACTTATACAGTCAACAAAATTCATCAAATAATCGTCTATAAAGCGGTCTGGGGTGGAGTATATGAATCAATCGTTGTATTTTCCCTATTGGCATACAATTTCAGTATCTTGAGATGTCAAAATCCATTTTTGCTAGAACAATACTTATTTTTTCAGACTCATACCAAGAAGAAGATCTCACCATTCTCAGGGAAAAATGGAACGACGCTTTGCAAAAGCGAAGACAGTACTTGAATCAACAGTTACAGAATCTGCTGCAGAAGGCAGACAAGTCCGAGCAAGATGCTGAAAGGGAGAGAAGTCTTATGGAGCAACTCGTAAATTTGACAGAAGAAAGTAATGCCGTATACATTCCACAGCCTGGTACTGGCATTCCAGGGGCTCCAGCTATGTGGAGTCCCCCATCAGGGATGGAACCTCATGTTCCTGTTCTCTTTTTGGATCTCAATGGTATGCAATTATTGGTCTTTCATATATCTCATTCTCTCAGACCCCCCCCCCCTCCTTGAAGACTAAAATAATAATGAAAAAGTGGCGTATGCTTGAGGTCCTACAATGTTTTCTTTATTTACTTTTTCACGCTGAATACCAATTTGAAGTCAAAATTGAAGGTCGATGAACAAATAAGAAAGTAATTTAGGCATTAATGTTACACATTTTGGCATTTTTGGTGGATATGCATCTCTTCAGAGGTCCAAATTACTTTCATATTTGTCTATCTTTTCCCAATTTTGACTTCAGATTCGTGTTCAGCGTGAAAAGTACATGGGAAAAACATAGTCGGACCATAGTGGGCCTGTATAATTATTGATTTGTTTTCAGCTGACGACCTTTCAACCCATCCCTCTGGAGAGGAAGTGACAATAGCTGGTGTAAACTCGATTCTTCCTAAAGAAGACGGAAGACAATTTTATACCTTACAAATTCTTAATCATTTGGATAAGGGACGTGTGTGCAATAGCTGCTTGGGATTCGTCAATACACGACAGTCCTTACTTGAACAAAGTAACTGAAGGTAATAAACGAATACGTGTTTGATAAGTAATGAGATTGGTCGCCCTACGCTGTACAAAATCTAGCGGGAAACCTTACGGAAATCAGTCCTAGGTGAATCTTGCTCAAACTTTGGGAAAAGCTCTTCAGGGCATCCTGATCAAAAGTTCTCTTTTGCTCTCAACCATCATACGAAGCGTTTCCATGATATCCAGTGTGTTCAAAGCTTGCAAGTACAGAATATTGATCCTAAATAAAAACGGATCAAAGAAAATTATTTATGGGTAACCGATGGCACGTTTTTATAATACTCACAATTATACAGCGTGTCTCAATTTTGCACCACATCAAAAACATTTTTTTAAATGGAAGGCCGTACTTTTTGTTACACACTCGGATTGGCTCTTTTAAAAGAAGAAGATTTATATAACCTACTTATGGGTTTTGGTTATTAGTTATTGGGCTGTCGGGTATTGCATATCACCTGTCTTGACAGTTTTCATTAGTCTAGGTATAAAGCTTAATATATTGACGAAAGGAAAACAGGTAGTTACAATTTAGCAGATTTGGCCATGACTATAACCTTCAAGGTTACTTGTTTTTGTGGAGGCACTCCACTTTTGATTACGGAAATAAAAAGAGTGGGACATTTCACATTGATCTACAATAGTAATGGCCCATGGCTATTGCTAATAATAAATCTTGACCATGACGGTTAAGGTCAAGTCAAGTTAATATCTACATTGAGTGTTGCCAATAATAAATATTTATCACAACCTTCAAGGTCACGTCAAGGTCAAGTTACTGGTTTTCAATGAGACACTTTATGCTCTACTCCAGAAACGAAAAGAGTGGAACATTCCACATTGATCTACAATAGTCAAATGGCCCCACTCACTTGACCATGACGTGATGACCTTGAAGGTCATGGTCAGTATTTATTTTTGGAAAAGTGGAATCTCCCACTCTTTTTATATCCATAATAAAAAATGAAGGGTCTCATCGGAAAGAAGTAACTTGACCTTGACATGACCTTGAAGGTTGTGGTCTGGACAAATCTATGTTTTCTTTTCATCAATATATTAACCTATATGCATACACTAATGCAAGTTGTCAAGACAGCAGCAGATATGCAGGTTGTCGAACTTGGTTGGTTTTTTAGATAAAATACCCAAAAGCCTAATAACTAATAATCAAAACCGTCTACTCATATTAGACGAAAATATCCCTGGTTTGCGAAATAATTGTAAATTCTGGTTTTATTGCTGCAAGTTGTTCAAGACGGTATTTAAAACACGCATAAAATGGTACACCAATGTTTGTGGGAAAACTTTGTATTAGACAACAAAGAATGAGAAAACGTGTTTTTTGGGATTCAATCGAAAGTGTTGGCAGAAACAAAAAACCCTTAATATAAAATTTTTAGGCGTGTATGAGACCTACAAGATGAGATCATACGTAAAAACATCCGACTAATAGCAAAAAAGTTATTGCCGAAAACCGAGGCTAACTGCAGGTGTTGGCACTTGTTGGTAATGCGACGATGGTTTCTCGCAGATACTTGAAATTCTTGAAATTCGTAGGATTCATATTTCTAAGTAATCACAACAAAATTGGAGTAGATTGGTCAAGTAGTTTTTGAGAATCCCTAATTGTTTATCCCAAAACGCCTGTTTTCCGGCCATCACTACTAGTTTTTTGAGCAATACACAGGGTTAGTTCAAAGTCCATTTTATACCAAAATACACTAGTTTACCTTTTCGATATGAATCGCAAACCATTCCGGAAGATAAATGTTATTATACAAATTCAAATATTTCGTATTTGTGAGTAATTCGCAACAAAAGATGATGACACATCCGCCTCGTTTTAAAATTTGTATGGTAACGTATGTTTTTCGAATATAGTAGCGCATTTGTTCAGTTCTCGCAAATACGACATGTTTGAATTTGTTTAGAAGAAAAAAACGTAACCTTTGTTTTCGCATAAAAATAACATTTATCTTTCGTAATGGTTTTGAGATTCATATGTTCAAGGTAAACACGTGTATTTTGCTATTAAATGCTCTTAAACGAACCCTGTATATTGTTCAGCAGTGATGGCTGGAAAACAGGCATTTTGGGATAAAGAATTAGAAATTCTCAAAAACTAATTGATCAATATACTTAAATTTTGTTATTGTTATTTAGAAGTATGAATCCTACGGATTTGAAGAAATTCAAGTAGTTGCGTGACATTATCGTCACATTAGCAAGTGCCTAAACCTGCAATTTGCCTTGTTTTCGGCCATAACATTTTTGCTATTAGTCGGATCTTTTACGTGTAGTCGCATTTTGTAGGTCTCATAAATACCTTATGTCTTATTTTTCGTTCATGTCAACACTTTCGATTGAATCTGAAAAAACACGTTTTCTCATTCTTTGTTGTCGAATAAAATTTTCCCACAAATATTGGTGTACCCATTTTATGCGTAAATGTTCCAAATACCCTTCTGAACAACTTGCACCTATAAAACCAGCATTTTCAATTATTTCGGGGAAATTTGCTAATAGGTTTATATAAGACCTTTTTTCTTTAACCGGGCCTATTCGAGTGTGTAATTAAAAAAAATATATTGTTGATGTAGGGCAAAATTGGGACAACCTGTACAATTGTATTTTAGAAATGTGCCCACGGATATCATGTATAATAACCCATAAATAGTTCTTTGATAATTTTGTATTTAGTAAGCAATACTTCGTTCTCGCATGTTTGAGACATTCTCATCCTGCATATCATGGAGACATTAAGAACTTTTGACCAGGATGCTCTGGAGAACTTATCCCCAAAGTTTAAGCAAGATTCACCGGGAACTGATTTCCGTAAGGTTTGTACCCATTCAAGCAAACTATGAGCATTTCCATGTTATTTTTTGGATCTACCTTCTGACCTAGAAATATTTTCATCGTTTGAATCACCCTGTATATTTCTCTTTTTTATTTTTCAGCCAACGAAAGAGTTTATATGATTCTACGTGTCACAGTCAGACTATCCCACCCAGCACCTATGGATCTAGTGTTACGGAAAAGATTAGCAATAAATATATACAAAAGGCAAAGTATTGCGGATAGGATCAAAAATCAAATAAAGTCAAAAATAGTGAGAACAGATCTAGTTACTTCCTGTGGAGTTACTTATTTAGTAGTTTCCAATGTACCTAAAGCAAGTGAGGAACTAGAGGGTAGGGAAAGTCTCGCACAGCTAGCTGCATCTGTTGAAAATTCATCTATGTGTGACGGGGAAACATATATAGGTAAGATTTCTAACATTTTGGAATAAATATAATACGCGACACCACGGAGTCAATCTGTTAGGCTTGAGGAAAAGTTCTGCGGATTGTGACAACTCGAGCACAACAAATCTTCATTCTGCACTTTATCATGCATCACATCACCATCGCTGATTGTTTAGGAAAATTTGGCATGGGGAACGAGATCGATGTCTGGGTACGAGCACGTCTCGTCTGTCGCGGCGGCTGCTGGGAGAAAAGTTATAGACATCGATGACCGATATATTGTTACTCGAATAATTTTTTTTAATATGCTTACCTCAAAATCCGCAGAATTGTTGCTGCAGCCTAGTACTTGACAAATACTGTCTTTCAGAGAAGTATACTAGAGGGGTGAGTGCTGTTGAAAGTATACTGACACTAGACCGTCTAAGACAAAACGTGGCTGTCAAGGAGCTATTGCAAGCCAGAGGTCAACCTCTGATGAGAAAGACTGTCAGTGTAACCTAACTTCTCACAGGTGAGATTTTTATTTATGTTGGCACATTTAAAAGACAGTATTTTTTAGAGGAATGTTATCATTACTATATTTGAGTATTAAGCAACATGTTATATTTTTATCCGATTATTAATAACAATTTGTTTTTGCTGCCTAGACATTGGAGTCTAAGAACGGGGTAGGTAAATTTTGTTTTGCGTGTGAATTTTTGGTGCTAACATCTGTGTTTATCCTTAGTGTGTGAATAAGTTAACCAGATAACTTTTGATGGGGAGCAAAAAATATCACATTAAAATTCATCTCATAAAACCTAACCAAAAAGAAGGTATACCAAGAGAAGACAACTAGACAAGGCGAATAAATTATGGATGGATAGACTTAAATGGTGTTGTCAGATAACAGTATTTGGATGAATTTATTGTTTTCACTTGTAGCGAAACATTAGGCATTTTCTGTACAAATTTGCTGTTGTTTAGACTTATGTATATTTATTCATAGTAGGGATATTTATCATCTATTTGCAGTATACCAAAGATATTTTTTATCCAATTTACACGTTGCATGTTGGAAATTATTTATATAAGTTTCAGGTATCAGAGTAGGTATCCGACATTTTTCTTCGTTCACCAATAAATAGAAACTCATCATATTACTATTTGCTAATAATGTGCAACATAATTTGGAAAAAACGAATCTAATTTTTCTTCGTTCACCAATAAATAGATGCTCATCATACTCTAATATTTGCTAGTAATGTGCAACATAATTTGGAAAAATAAATCTAGGGAATAGATCTGCAACAATAATAAAACTGTAACCCTCGTAAACGTGAGGTATTTATCGTTGCATGATGGAATTTTAAGAGATTGAAATAGTTTTTACAGTAAAATGCTTATTAAAATACAACCCCATTGTTTTGACTGTTCTCCAAAGTTGAGGGATGGACATATTTTTGCATTGAGTTTCATTAAGCTTTGTTACAAAACGATATAACAATTAGTAAGACCACATCAGAAAAAACCGCAGCCCCAGACTTGATAATATTTGTGCTTGAATGTTTATAATCCCGTTTTTTCAAAAATTTCACACAAATATATCTTAACTATAACATATCGGATTACATTTACCTTGTTGTTTTAAATTCTATCGTCACCATTGAGATCTCTGAAACTGTAGGAGATACGAAGTAGCGCAAATAGGAGCAAAGTTGAGTATTTTAAGTAAACCAAGCTTATTAAGTTTCGAAATTCAGAGTACTTCCGGGGAGGGACGGAGGAAACAGTATTTCCCAAAAATACGTATTAGTTTTTTTCTAACCTTATTTGTAGTGAAAGTTCAAAATAAATTGGCATATCAATATAGCCACTTTTCTTCTCTGCCAAGATGGTATAGTCATAATTTCAATATCACTTTTGTCTCTTGCCGTTCAACGTCAACTTTATCTTTTCCGAGTTTATAATTCTGATGCGAAGGGGCGAAACAGTGGCAATGTATTGTGCATTCTATTTTTAAATCCCATTGAAATAAAAGAAGGAGGAGAAGAAGGAAATAATTATAACGATTTTGGGAAAATTCGGTTTTTTCCGTCTCTCTCCGGAATTTACAAACTTTCTAAGCGGCATTTTGGTAGTTACCTGAATACACAATTTTGCCCCCATTCAAGCGACTTCGTATCTTTTACCGTTTCCGAGGTCCCAATAGTGAGAGGCGAATTTGAAGCATCCTGAATAGGGGTTCAATCTTCAGTATTGAGGCTTGCTATTATGACTTCCGTTGATTAACCAATAACTTTAAACCCTGTATGAATGTAGCAGCTTACAGACATGTTCTGGAAATTTGGCAACACAACATGGATGTTTCCTCAGCCCTCTGCACTCCGCCAATGAAAAAATCAGCGCATTCTTGTCTCTTGGTATACTTCTTCTTTGATCTAACGATTATTTTATATTGCTTCCTCTGTACAAGTTTTGATTGAAACGATGTTCCAGTTGATGAGATTGGACCTTAGCTCGGAATCTCTTCACATGTCGCGATCAGAAAGCGTTTCTGAGCTGAACAGCGAACTGACAACACCTCTCAGAAGCAGATCTACATTCTGCAGGGATAACGAGGTTACACCTCCCAAGTATGGTGGACTAGGTAAGTTGTTGTTTTGTGATATTCACAGAGTGATGTTATTTCAGTTACATTCATAGCGATGGGGTTTGAAATGGTAAATTATGGTGTATCATTATTAAAATTTATGTGAAGGCATATTTTCCTGGTGGCTTGTTAGACGAGTCGACAGACTCGCACTTGTGGTGAAATGCAATTTAACATCAAGAGGTGATCCGGTGAACATTTGTTTAAACAGTGTCTTTAAAAGAATTATGGAAGTTATTAACTGCTCTGTAGAGTTGGCCGTTTTCGAGTTATAAGCGATTTAAAGTATGAAAAACCGTAAAATAGTCGTTGTGTATGTTCAAAAACTCGGTTAAAAACATTACTTTTGGGGTTGCCATGTCTTTAAAGTTTAACCTTGCTGCGTGACATAATTATTATGTATTAAATAACAATGCTTGAAAATAAACTGAGCTCAGAGTTCTCATCAGAATCTTGTAGAATGTAGAGGAAGATTTCAACTTTAATTTAGACCCTTGTAACTTGAAAAATAATTACTTTTTAACCGAGTTCTTGAACAGGGAAAATGGCCATTTTTAGGATTTTCAAACTCTAAACCACTTATAACTCGGAAACGGTCTGTTTTACGAGGAAAGTCAGATAAGTACCTAGCCTCACCATCCGATGGTGCCACTATCGTGACAGAAATTTACTATCGTGTACGGCTGTCAAAATTTCAGTCAAATCGGACTGGTAGTTTTGTTTTGACCGCGTGTGGAAGCGGGCGTGTCCGCGGATTTTAGAAAAATGAAAAATGAGCAATATCAGTCGAAACAGTGGATTAACACGGCGAACGTGCTCCAAAGAAGGCGAATACTGTCCTATGGGCCTGAAAGGTGATGGCTACCGTTTTCTGAGATTCACAAGGTATGATCTAAATCTACTACCGGGAGAAGGGCTAAACGGTCACAGGGCTCTAATATGCCGAAGTATTGGGCCGATTCGACGCCGAATTGCAGAACAACAGACTATTTGGCGAGGAAAAAAGTGCTATTCCATCATGACAATGCACCGGCTCACACCTCTACCGTAGCCACAGCCAACTGCTGCCCCATCCACCGTATTTTCCAGATTTGGCCTCGTTCGATTTCTTTTTGTTTCCACTTGACAAAGTCACTCGCCGGTCAAACATTGGAGTCGAATGAGGAGGTTATCGCCTACTTTGCAGACCTTCAGAAAAAGTATTTTCAGTCAAGTGTATCGAGCTGAAATAAAACTATGCTGCGAAATAGATCGCCACTTTTCCAAAATTTTCTTTTTTCTTTAATAGGCTGAGTACTTATCGGATCGCCCTCGTAGATAATTGTTATTAAGGACCTCTTTTATCTGGAATGATACAAAAAATCTAAACCGACAACCTCTTGATCCAATAAACTGACTATGGAAAAAAATCGAGTTGCAAAATCGGAGGTTTTCGTCTGGTCTATGATGAATACGAGACGTCCTTAACATATTAGTGATTGTTCATATAGACTGAACGTGTTAGAAAAAAAATTAAATATGAGTGAATGCATGACTCATTGGTTGTCATCGTTAACATTTCGTTTGGTTACATTTTGACCCCATTTTTGAGAAAATAGTTGACTGTGATTAGTCTTTTAGTAACTTAATTAGAAAGTACTCAAAAGATTGCCATGAAAAATTGCCTTCTTGAGACGTTTAAAGAGAAAACCAATCACTAATGATTAATCAATTTTCTTTGTGCGAACCACAAGGCTCCATTCTTTCAGGTAAAATGGAGGCTTGCATATTGAGATTGCTAAAAATAGGTGGAAAAACATTGTTACGAAAAAATAAGATCTGCTTGAAATTGAATAACAAGTTTTGAGATAGTGAATGATTGCATCTCAATTCTATGTTGGACCAGTAGTAGTTAGAAAACATGTAGATGAATACATAGCATGGTTTTGATATATTTTGCCGTCTTTAGTTGAAGCTTCACAAATGACCAGAAGCGTTGTTGTGTGACCTACGTCTCCAACACTTTTACAATGCAACAGAGTTTACAAAAATCAACGTTTTTATTCTATTATTTACGATACTTCATCACGTTTTAACGTCTCTTGAGGCAAACAACTCATGTGATATGTTTGTGTTGGCAGTAATGATCATGGTACCATACACTGATGACAATTTATTCTCACATACACCGAGAACCAAATTTGTCTAACGTCTTGTGTTCAATGTATACGAGAGAGAAGTGTGTTGCCTGGCTCAGCTGACGCGGCAATGTGCCGCGTTGCCAATATGTTGATCAATTCCTTGAATTAAGATGCATGTTGATAATTTGCGATAGTTTATTCCCTACGCCCAAATAATGATTTTATTTTGAGCGTATACATTTAGTATTTGTTCCATAACAATAACTCGAGATGTGTTTATCGATTTCATTATCGGTGGTAATCAAAGAAATGAATAAAAAGACTAAGTCACATCAAATTTGAAATGAATAATTCTAGCCAAAATGAAAACAAAATATTGAATTAAATGTTCGAACAGACCTCCTTCTTGGGTTTGACAGTGACCTAACGTATTGTAGAAGCCTGTGCGAACATTTTCTGGTGTAACATATTCGCCACGCGGCAGATTGCACGACCTCCTGCGTCACCGTGACTAGGCAACGTGGTGATGACCTTCTCTCTTCAGTCGGCTTCTATCTGTATGTACTTTCACTGACTGGGAATTTTGATGATAAAATATACATGCAGTAGATCATATACAAGCATTGTTAGAAACTATGCGGCAGTAAAAAAAACAGTAAAATACGACACAAGATAATAATGCTGTTATTGACATGTTTTGCCGTGATGAAGTTTCGTAAAAAATAGTTTATTTTTTTACGTAC